AGAAGGAAGAAGAAAAAAAGCGAAAACTAAAAACAAGAAGAAGGAAGAAGAAAAAAAGCGAAAACTAAAAACAGAAGAAGGTAGAAGAAAAAGAAAGAAAAAACGAAACTAAAAAACAGAAGAAGGAAAAAGAAAAAAAAACAAAAACTAAAAACAGAAGAAGTGAAGAAAAAAACGAAAAACTAAAAACAAGAAGAAGGGAAGAAAAAAAAAGCGAGAAATAACTAAATAAAACGAGAAGACGTAAATAGAAGAAAAAAAAAAAAGCGAAAACTAAAAACAAGAAGAAGGAAGAAAGAGAAAAAAGCGGGAAGGAAACTTAAAAACAGAAGAAAGGAAGAAGAAAAAAAAAGCGAAAACTAAAAAAACCCAAAGAAGGAAGAGAAAAAAAAAGAAAACGTTAAAGACTAAAAACAAAGAAGAGAGAAGAAGAAGAAAATAAAAGCGAATAAAAAAGAAAGAAGAAGTAAAAAAATATAACACAGTAAACAAAAAAAGATAGAAGAAAAAAAAAAATAAAAATACAACAGAAAAAAAACCTAAAAAAAAAAAAAAAAAAAAAAAAAAAAAACTGTATGAAGAAGAAATAATTGTGTCAAAACCGGAGAAATAGATGTGTTGCATCTTTGTATTTGTGCGCTCGCATTTAATGAGCGTAATTCATGCAATGGCTTTGCTGGATACGCATCTGTGCAGAAGGCAAGTGAATAGAAGGAAGAGGAAACAATGATAATTTAAATTCAGCTGTGTGTGGAGTGAAGAAAGAAAAGCGGGTAAGGAGAGGCTGAAAGGACATGGTGGCAAGACTGTGGCGTTTCCGGGTGAACTGATTGTGTGTGTGAGTGTGTTGCTGTGTGGTGATTGTGTCTTTTTGTGTGTGTGTGTGGGTGTGTGTGTGGTGTGCTGTGTGTGTTGCCGCGCCCATACCCAAAGTTCACGAGAATGCCCTGTCCAGAGCTGTGAGCATGTGTGTGTAACATGTATATGTAAATAAACATTAATGGTATACAAACAATCTATCACACACATACTTACACCACACGAGAACTAAGAGAAACACCAAGGGCTTCATAATATCACATTTTCATTCCTCCTATTCTTAATCATCTGATCTATTCGACACTGGAGACTATATGTCTAATTTCTTGTTCGAGATGCATTTTTGCAGTATGTATAATGATTAGTAATATATATATATATGATATATATATATATATATATATATTGATATAGTATATATGTATAGTATTATAATATAATTATAATATTGTATATATATAATATATATATATATATATATATAATATAATATATTATATAGTATTGTGTGTGTGTGTGTATTTATAAAACACACACACACAACCACACACACACACACACACCACAGCACACCACACACACCAACACACACACCACACACACACACACACACCATAAATATATATATAAATATTATATATATATATATATATATAATAATATTATATATTCTAGTATATATAACATATATATACATATATACCATAGATACATATATATATGTAATATATACATATATGTATATGTATACACCCATATATTTTTGTATATACATACACACATTACAGCCATACACACACACACACATACTTATATATATATGCAGATCACTGTGAAATGACCATATGGTGGTGGTTGAAAGAAAAAGGAAACATAAGGCTTTTATTTATGATATTACAAATCTAAAATGAAGAGTAAGCGTAATATTGCATACTATTATATATATATATAGTATATATATATATATATATATATATATATACATTATAATATATATATATATATATATATAATAATATATATATAATACGTATATATATATATTATATGTATACATATGTACATACACCCATATACAATACTTAGACATATGCACGCACACACACACATATTTATTCACAAGCACACATAAACGCACATACACACATACGCGGAAAATACATACATACAAATACCTCCCATTTACATATGAACACCCAACACTTACACATTATGCCTCTCCTGCCCCAGTACCCTCCGCACGCAAGAATCGAAGCCACACACCATCTGTAGAAATTGGACGTCACAGTGAACCTATTACGAAATTCGACCTTATCCCCGACAACGAACTGGGCGAACCACTCCATCAATAAGGGAACGCAGAATCATAAGGACGAGGCTACAGTGCTTTCATATTAATGAAAACAGGCTAAGAGGCGTCTCATATAAGCGGAGTGGGAGGTGATGCCATTACGTTAAAACACAATTTCAGTATAAGCGAGAGAGACCGGTAGGTAGGGAGATGCTGAAGCTACGTTCTAATATACTCCGGGTATGCTGGAAGGGTCTGGTCTTCCTCAGCTCTGTTCATTTCCGAAATATAACAATATGACGAAGACCTAATAAGGGCAGCTTCAGAATTAACCTCAGGGGCTGGCTTGCCTTAAACCCATAACACCTGAAATATACCTGCTCAGCTTGCCTTACACAAATACACCTGAAATATACCTGCTCTACCTTACACCCATACACCTGAATATATCCTGCTCTGCTGCCTTACACCCATACACCTGAAATATACCTGCTCTCGCTTGCCTTACACCCATACACCTGAAATATACCTGCTCTAGCTTGCCTTACACCCATACACCTGAAATATACCTGCTCTAGCTTGCCTTACACCCATACACCTGAAATATACCTGCTCAGCTTGCCTTACACCCATACCCTGAAAATATACCTCTAGCTTGCCTTACACCCATACACCTGAAATATACCTGCTCTAGCTTGCCTTACACCCATACACCTGAAATATACCTGCTCTAGCTTGCCTTACACCCATACACCTGAAACATATCTGCTCTAGCTTGCATACACCTGAACAATGCGCTGCTCTATACACCCAAACCTGAAACATATACTGCTCTAGCTTGCCTTACACCCATACACCTGAAATATACCTGCTCTAGCTTGTCTTACACCCGTACACCTGAAATATGCTTGGTCTAGCTTGCCTTACATCCATACACCTGAAATATACCTGCTCTAGCTTGCTTACCCCATACACCTGAAACATAGGCTGCTCTAGCTTGCCTTACACCATACACCTGAAATATACCTGATCTAGCTTGCCTTACACCCATACACCTGAAATATACCTGCTCTAGCTTGCCTTACACCCATACACGCTAGCCTGCTCTAGGCTTGCCTTTACATACCATACAATCTGAAAATATATACTGCCTCTAGCTTGCCTTACACCAATGACACCTGAAAGTATACAGCTATGCTAACGTGAGCTTGACCTTACACCCGGTGGACCAGAAATATACCTGCCTAGGCTTGCCTTACGGACCACCGGATACGACCTGAAGATACGGCGTGCTCTAGCGGTGTGGCCTTACAGCCCGATACACCTGAAATATACCTGCTCTAGCTGTGCCTTACAACTCAGTACCACCTGGAAGGCATTAGCCGTGGCGTCTAGCCTTGCCTGACACCCATACACCTGAAAATATAAACCTATGCCTCAGCTTGCCTTAGCACCCATACACCTGAAATATATCTGCTCTTAGCAGTTGCCAATGTACACCCATACAGCCGGTGGAAAAAGTATGAGCCTGCTCTAGCTGTGGGCCGTGTAAACATCCATACACCGAAAACATATCTGCTCTAGCTATGACATAGGTGACATTCCCATACACAACTTGAAACATATGTAGCTGATGCTCGTAGACTTGGCCTTACACCATTACACCTGAAAATATACCTGCCTCTGCTGAACCTTGACACCCATACACCTGAAATATACCTGCCCTAGCTGCCTTACACCCATGGACCTAAAAGGTATACCCTGCTCTAGCTTGCCTTACACCCAGGAAGACGCTAAGATATAGCCTGCGCTCATAGCTGTGAGTGCGAACTGAAGGAGCAGAGCGAAGGCCAGGAAGTGGAAGGCCTAAAAGGGAGTGAGGAGCCCAGAGGAAAGGATATACAGGCTGCGTCTTAGTCTGGTAGCCTGTGAGCACCCATGGACCCAATAAAGAAGAGTGATACGAGAGGGCTGCTCTAAGAGCTGTGCAAGGCTTAAACACCCGGATGACCCAGAAAGCTATCGTACCACTGCCTCTAGCGTGCCCGTGGCTTACACCATTGGACCTCACATATAATTATTACGGTGCTGCCCTCATAGCCCTTGCGCTTACTATACCCAACCCACGTGCTGACCTTGAAATTTATAAACTCTCAATGTCGTTATGCTTTTCGTCCCTCTATCTATTCTCAGGATCCTTCAACTCCTCATATCACTACTCCTCTGCCTCTTACCGCTGCCCTCTTCTACACCTCATGCGCGACCTAGCACATTATATACCTGCCCTAGGCTTGCCCTTAACACCCCCCATCTACACCTGAAATACTACCTGCTCTAGCTCATAGCCTTACACCCATGGACCTGAAATATACCTGCCCTAGCTTGCACCTTACACCCATACACCTGAAATATACCTGCTCTAGCTTGCCTTACACCCATACACCTGAAATATACCTGCTCTAGCTTGCCTTACACCCATACACCTGAAATATACCTGCTCGACAAATATAACAACAGACGCTATTGCCTAAAGCACAGGAAAGGAAAATCCAACCCTTCATTTGTTTATAACAAGAGTATTACAATCTGTTATAGAGGGAACTTGATAAACGGATCAAAAGCGGATTTGATTATAGATTCAGCGCTGCAAGGGGTGTCAACATCATCAAGCTGTGTGATTCTATTATGCACAGGAATCCACATAAGATAGGCGAATGGCCGTGTCACTTTGGCTTGCATATTCTGTCGTCTCAACCCTTTCTCTCTTCGCTTGATCAACTCCAGGAATTATTCAGGTACACAGGCCATCGAATTGACACGCACTGACTTACTATAATTTTCTTTCATAATAAGTCATTTGTAGTTCATAAGAGTGTTATATAAGTGTACTATGGGTGAAGATATGAAAAAATATATTTCCTCTTCTTTTCTTGTTTCATGATAAATAATTTGTAAATTTCTTTCATAATAAATAATTTGTAATTCATTAGTGTGTTATATATGTGTACTCTGGGTGAAGATATAGAAAAATATATTTCCTCTTCTTTTCTTGTTTAATAATAAATCATTTGTAATTCCTTAGTGTGTTATATATGTGTACTTTGTGTGAAGATTTTATGAAAAAATATATATGCTCTTCTTTTGTTTCCTGAGCAATTATAAATATATATTATGATAACAGATTATATCCTTTGAGGTGTTTATATTAATACTGATAACAATAATGGCAATGTTGACAGAATGATCACAAATATACACCCAAAAATAATTCACCAACAAAAGTGAAAAAACTGATGTAACGGATAAATACTAATAAAAAGTTATCACTATTATTATTTTCATCCTCATCACTATTAATGTTATCAATGTTATCATTATTATTTTTGTTATTATTATAGTTATTATCATGATTATAATCCTTATTATTAACATCATTATAATTATAATCTTATTATTATCATTATTATTATCATCATTATTGCCATTATTATAATTATTATCATCATTATTGCCATTATTATCATTATCTACTATATCATTCTAATCAATATCATTCCGTTAGAAGTATTGATAATAATATTAGTTTTACTTTTCTTTTATCATTATAATGATCATCACCATCAAAATCAATGTCATCTTCTTCATCATCCTTAATAACATCATCATGATTGTTATAATTATTGCTTCTGTTATTTTCATCATCAGTCTTGTTTTCATTATCATCAATATCATCCTACAATGATAATAAAAATAACATCGATAAGAGTAATGATAATGATGATAATGGCAATGATACCAAGGATCATAATGATAAAATGATACGTTACTGTAATCTACATTTACTTCAAGATTTGCAATATCAAAAATAAAAGCAATATTATGTTTCCTTTTACTTTCAATCATCATCATTGTCATTTCACTGTGATTCCAACCATTGAAATATGCTCTTTTATTATCAGTATTAGAATTCTTGTTAAAAAGCAGTAATTATCATTATGATTAAATTACTACTATTATTATCATTAATATCATTATGGTCACTCTTATCACCATTGTTATCACTATCATTATTATTATTAACACTACGATCATCATTTTAATTTGTATTGCTATCACTAATATCACTATAATTATACATATATGTATATGTATATATATATATATATATATATATATATATATATATATATATATATATATATATATATATATATATATATATATATATATATATATATATATAATATAATTATATATATGTATATGCATATACATACATACGTACATATGTATATACATATATATATATTATATATATATATATATTATATATATATATATATATATATATATATAATATATATATATATATATATATATATATATATATAATATATATATATATATATATATATATATATATATATATATATATATGTATATATATATATATATATATATATATATATATATATATAATATATATATATATATATATATATATATATATATATATATATAATATAGATATAGATATATATATATATATATATATATATATATATATATATATATATATATATATATATATATATATATATATATATATATATATACATATATATATATATATATATATACATATATATATATNGAAATGAGAATCAGAAAGCTTACTCAGATGGCCGGGAATCGCGCATGTAATCAATCGGTCGAATCCGCCGCCAAGAATG